CGTTGCATGAAAGACAGAAAGTTGAGTTGGAAATGCACGTCTTACAGTTTGTATTACAACTTGAACATTCACCATTCGTCGTTTCATCAATGTAATAACCATCTTCACATCTCACACATTTCGTTAATTTCATTTGTGTGCAATTTTTAACCTCTATTTGTATACACGTGTTTTGAGAAAGAATCAAATTTCCTTGACACTCTACACATCGTGTGTTTGCGTATTTCGAACAGCCATCTATTTCAGGTTTACACTTCCCATTTTCATCATTTGGACTCACACAGGAATCAATTTCACAAGTTCCACTTAAACTCATTTTGCTTTTGTCATCACATTTTGTTGTTTTTCCATTTTCACACAACACAGAATTTGGATAAGTTGAATCACATTTGTTGCAGAGGGACTTGTTTAATACAAAGCCACTCTCACACGAAATAACAGTTTGATGAACGATTTTGGTGTTGTCAACGTGTTCACAATTTCCATTAATATTAACTGTGTTGTCTTTATCATCACAAATCAAACAACTTCCATCAACCTTCTTATCAACACAGTTATCTACTGTGACACATTTCATTTCTTTCAATAGATAACCATTATCACACTTTCGACATCTATTCGATTGTATCAACTGACATCGTGGAATTGTGCCACATTTGCCATTAATTAAGTAATACCCACCACCACACTTCAGACAGACATCAACACCAATTGTACAACTCTCACAATTTAGGTCTTGACAAGAAGAACACTCTTTCCCAGTTGCATTGTATTTGTAATCTGGACATTCATTGGTACAATTATTGCAAGTCATATTCCCATTGTTTGTGTAACAGTACTTACATGCCTGCTTAAATTGCTGTGAAATTAAAAACGAAGAATTTGATATGAAAAGCGCCTCTTTGGTCATTTCATTCATCTGAATAGAAACACTGTTTTTGTTGTTGGAATACATGACTACACCGTCCGTTTTTGCAAAAGAAAATAAATTGTTGCTGCCCAACACCACAACTTCATTAAAAATTTCTCCCATTTCATAAGCTTTTTTGGTTTGTAATTTATCACTTGCAATGTCAATTTTGAAAGATGTGACAGAACTTAGTGGTGTTATATAACAGTCAGCACCACTACATGGGCAATACGATTCTATGTATTCAACATCCCCCGAACTCGACACCCCCAAATGGCAAAACAACTTTGTGGAATCGCCAAATCTTACCAATCGATTGTTTTGTAACATTTTGACATCATTATTAGGAGTTATACCTGTTATTGATTGATTGGTATTTGCAAAGGCAATATCAAATTGATTGTCAAACGCCAATATTGTTTTGTCAAAGTTACTGACTTTATTTACTTGAAACAAAGGGATATCACGTATAGTCCGTGCTGTAAAATTTACTTTACAATTACCACCAAGTGATAATTCTTCATTTATAATAATGTATGAGTTGCCAAATGATGTTAGAACGCCTTTGTCGCAAATTAGTTTCTTAGAAATGACAACCTTTTTATCATTTTCTCCTCGTAAATACAAATTTGAATTTTCACTGATTTTAAAGTCTCCACTTGTCTCTACACCCGCATTCGAATTCAATTCCACAAACGACGATCCTTTAATTTCAATTTTATTAAAACCAATCATTTTTGAATTGTTATATAACACTCCACCGTTTGTAGAAGATATTTTAATTTCGTTATCTGATTTAAAAAGTGAATAGTCGAAAAGAATTACTTGGCTATTTGCTTTAAATTCGATGGTATTTAGAGAGTAAAAAATTGAACTTCCCATCAATGTACAAATAGCATCACCATCAATTGTAAAACTGTTTATACTTAAATATGTTGTATTTTTACAAACGACAATAGCATTTCCAGCCATTATAAATTCGTCTGCATTTATTTTCGAATTATCATTCATTTCAATTAACGCATTTCCAACAAGATTGAATTTTGATTGGTTACACGTTGAGTTGTCATAGAATTTAATATTTGATTGCTCTTTGAGTATTAAATTATTTGCCCTAATATATGAACTGTTCATAACAACAATTAAAGATGTTCCGTACATCGACAAATTCTCGTTGACAAAAAATGATGAGTTATCTTTTATTATGAGTGTGGAGTTGTTATTCAAAAATATTTTGTTGTTACATATGAGTGATGTGAAATTGGATATAATGAATTGTGAGTTGTCATTTAAAGTAATTTCATATCCTGATGCGTATGTTTGTCCGTCATTGATTTCAAACACCTGATCTCCACTAAGAGACGTTATTGGTAAGTCTTTACAACAACAGTAGCAAATAAGAAAATATACAAGTATAATAGTCGTACAAGCTATTTTTTTCATTTTGATAATTGATTGTTTATGGAATTTTAGGTCTCTTAGTTCAATTTCAAATTTTTTTTCCATTTGATCTTTTCAAATAAAATTTAAATCATTCTTGTTATTTTATTCCTAAAGAAATTATTTTTTTTATAATTCGCAATATATTCAACTATAAATATTAATATGTTTTTTATAATTATATTAAGTTGTGAATATAAATATATAAATGAGACAAAAATATATATTGGTGAAAATTTGAAACTTAAAGCTCGACAAAAACTGTGGTTTCGATCATTAATTAATAATTTTTATATTGTTTTAAAAACCAAATATTTAAAATTACCTTTTAAATAAAATCTATTATATATAATAATAATTGTTTATTATAATTCAATAAGTATTAAAACAGTATTGAAAGTCAAAAGCTTAGTAGTACTGTTGTTATTTTAGAAATTGATTTTTTTATTTACAATATAATTAATTAACTTTATTAATTCTAAATTAAATTTTTTTGAAAAAATTATTTTTGATTCAACTTTTTAATTGAATTATTTATATTTAAATTAAAAAGTTTTTTATTATTTAAAAAAACAACCATATTTTTATTAAAACTATAATAACTTTTATCATAATGAATGTTAAGAGTTGTTAAATCACTTAAATTTAGAAAAAACAGTTCAATTCTTAATTATAAAAATGATTCCCTGTTTTGTTCCTCACTGATTAAGAGAAAGGACGGACATGGGGACGAAGGACGGGAATATAGGCCGAAGGACGTCCTTTGTGGTTTAAGGACGTCCTCCCGTATAA